GGGTTTCCTGCCCCGCGCTCTGCTCTGCTCGCTGCAGGCGGCCATGGGCGACCACAAGGCCGTGATCAAGGACACGGACATGAGCGAAGAGATGCAGCAAGAGGCCGTGGACTGCGCCCTGCTGGCCCTGGACGAGTACAACATCGAGCACGAGATCGCGGCCCATATAAAGCGGGTAAATGTTTCCTTGTAGCATCCCCTGCTTTGAGGTCTCTACAGGCGCGCCGCACTAGGGAACGGTGGTAGGCAGCTCCATGGAAACAAGTTCTGTGAGCAGCCGGTAACTGAGTCCAGCTTCCTGCAGGCCGGTGCCCTGGGCATCCCTTCCCTGCACCTTCCCTGTGCTTTTCCAGGTTCTTCCCCTTTCGCGATGCTTCCTGTTTAAGACATTTTTTTCTCTCCTTTCTGTCCACAGCAAGCGCATAGCAGTACTAAATCACTAGTGCTCTCTTCTGCAGGAGTTTGACAAGAAATACCATCCCACTTGGCATTGCGTTGTGGGAAGGAACTTTTGCAGCTATGTGACTCATGAGAGTAAGCACTTCATCTACTTCTACCTGGGGCATGTTGCTATTCTGCTCTTCAAATCTGGTTAGAGCCACGGACTGTTACTGAAACTTGCACCTTGCTAACGACGTGTGTTAACTGCAAGCAGCCTAGTGCCTTCAGCCTTTCCAAGCAAACACACCTTGAGTTATTTATTTAATTAATTTTCTATAAGGATGATATGAGGGATTTTTCTGCAGAAGTTTTATTGTAGTTAGGGGAAAATACCAAGGAAAGTCTCACTTATTTCTTTTGAAAAGCCAGCTTCTTTCCTAATAAAACTACTTTTAGTGTGTTCTGCCTCTAGAATTTTATGGCTGTCTGCACTTTCCACCCCCCCTTAATTCCTGCTTCTCATTTCTGTGGGGATGAAGAATAGGGCTCCTGATGAGCCCTTTTAGAAGACCCTCCCTGAAAAGCTGTTCGGTAACGTCCTTCCCCCGTCCCTTCTCAGTGCAGAAGTGAACCCTGTGTCTGCGGACCCGCCCCGTCCCCGGTACCGAGCCCCGGTACCGGAAACGAGGAATGGGTGCCCGGCAAGCCGGAACGACTACAACTCCCGGCGTGCTCTGCGGCGCTCGCCATGTTGCGGGGGCATCGCCCCCCCCCGTCGGGACTCCAGTTCCCGGCGTGCTCCATGCTCGGCTCCTATAAAAGGCTCCATCCGGGTCCTGCTCTCCGCTGTGGGCGACTCGTCGCCATTACGGGGCAGCGGCGGCTGAAGCC